GTGCTTAACCTTTACACGCTTATGAGCTCACTCGACTACCTACCTCCCCTCAAAGAGTACGTTAAGCTTTTGGGGGAATGACAAAAGGAAACATCAAAAGGACGGAAAAACACACTAAGTAATTACAATAACACCATTGGCGGTTCCCCTTACAAAATACAAGCAAAACCCACCCATGATACACATGTTGACACCATGAAAGCACGCGGTTGGTACTCTGATTGCTCACTGTAGGTGCTTGATGGCGCAGCGAAGGGGTCACCTGTGACACTATGTCCATCAGTCCATGCATCATATGTGAGACCCACCATAGACTAGAAACCCACCATGCATGGATGTATGGACATAAGTCATGTTAGAAGGCGTTGGAAAGGATTTTTGTGGGCAGGAGAACTCAAATCGTATGGAATATACTTTGATTCATCACCTTATAGGGAAAAATAACCTCGTAGAAGTATGATCAATGCACAGCACATGGCATATAGCTATTGTAGTCCAACCAACACAACCAATATAATCCAGGTCATAGAAAGAGATTTTCAGAACGAGATCTGCTCCTCACAAATAGGCACCTCAAAGTCACATTCACCATACATTGAGAATATCTTTTTATGAATAATTTATAAGTACAAAAGACATTACTAATGCATGCTAAGATATACATATGAGGTGAGTGTGAACAGATCCTTTTATACGATCATGTATATAAACAGATCACTATTTTTTCTAGGACATGGTTTTAGCCCTGCGCTAAAACCGTGAAATACTGAAATCAAAACTTCTGAGATGGTATTTTTGTGGCCCCACCTTGAAATAGATGAAGTTAAATCGTGGTGGACCACAGCATTAAATCTAAGGTCATGATTCGCTAAAAACCATGTCCCAACAAAGTGAACTCCTATGCAAAATGGTGCACCATTAGTTGTGAAGTCATGTTTGGCTCACATTTCCAAGTTTACTATTTTTTTTGTTTGTCTCTAACCTCCAAGTGCTTAATTCGTTGTAAACTTATACGGTTATACCGTATATTTTTAGTTTGCCACATGGCAGGGGCTTTATGCCACATCAGCTGAAATGACAAGAAAAACCTTTTCTGACGGATATTTCGAATTACCCACACAATATGTTCCGTACACGTGGCATGGGTGATCGTCCGGCGAAGGGATGTGGAAGGCAAAGGCAAACATCCCCTGTGGTTTGAGTTATTGACAAGTAGTGGTCCAGCCTAGCCGAGATCTCTTCCTTTTCCTTCTTCCATTTGGATTGGTGGTTGTTAATCTGGGACCCACTACCTCCATCAACGATGCAATAAAAAAGGTAAAAAACCACCTACTCCTCGGAGTGTCTTCCGTACTTGTCGTCTTGCTCTACCTATTTATCCCGGTTACCGGTGCGACCAAAAAGCGGTGAAAGCGAGACTACACGCGCTCAGCGCCCACATCTGTACGTGCGTAATGCCTGTGTGGTGGTGCAACAAATAAAGTAAGAGAGAGAGAGAGGGAGAGGGGGAGAGAGAGAGAAGGAAGGGAAGGGGGTTTCCTCTTCTATTAATTTTCTTGGGGGGTTTTTGCACCTCTTCTCACCATATCAGGCTCCTCTTCCCCGGAATCCGACCTGCAAAATTTGTCTCTCTCGCTCTGGTTTCCTCTATCATATTTTATTCAATCTGTCAACCCTAACCCATCGATGAGGATCAGAAAGCGATCTCAGCCATTGCCGTTCTCTTCCCTTTGCCCCGTCACTCTATTAGATCCCCAACCATCCACACCGGCATCACTTGAACATAACCAGGTAGGAAGTGATGCACAAGTGAAAGAAGAGGAGGAAAAGGCGACGGGGTTGCAGCCAGGTAGGGATTTAGTGGTACAAGAACAGAATACCTATCTTAATCGGCCCTGCCGTTCCCCCGATCAATGTCCCCAACTTCCCTCGAAGGTGGAAGAGCACCAGCCTTGCCCGGATCTGCTTCTGACGATCGTGAGAGGAGGTAACGGATGGTTTTTCTGCGATGGGAAGGAGGGCCAAGACCAGAAAATCGAAAGAGATTTTTGCATGATGCAGTCCTCCGATAGTCCAACCCAAGTCGACGAGGTAGGCTTCTGAAATTTTTTTCTCCCCCAAAGAAGTTCCTCTTTAGTAATTTTTTTTTTTCTTTTGAAAACTGCATTAGTTGGGCAATCTTCAGTTCAATCGCTTTTGTAATCGGCTAGCATTAGCGGCTTTACCCTCTTTATCTCTCCACCGGTGCAACTTTGTTGGGTCACTTAGGCTCAGTTCGTCTCTCCCAATGGGGTCTTTGCAGGAATTGATAGGAGGAGATGAAAGAGAAAGGAAGAACTGGAGAGTTAAGACCAACAATCTCAGGTAAAGGAATATTCGCTGGTTTCGTTTTCGTTTTCTTGGAAAATCTCAGATTTCATGGAAAAACTGAAAATAAGAGAACATATGGGAGAAATGAAGGAATTCAATTTACCCTTCTTCCCTTGTACAAAAAGTAGCACTTCTGTTTCATGTTCGCTTTCATTATCCGCCATTCCCCCC